AAGGAGCTAAAGTTGAAATTTTAAACAATTTAAAATATATCCATCTAATCATGTTTCTTCAGGTTGCAATGACAATGTTGCTCCTTTTATTGAGAGAGCGTATCTTTAGTAGCGTCACCCTGCTGCTGTTTTCACTTGTACAGTTTGAACCCAACAGAGCCCGTCTCTACCAGGTGTCTGGTCACTGTATGAGAGGTCAGAGGTTACGATGCACAGCTCGTCTTCTCTTGTCTGCAACATCAAAGTTCATTATATTATTTTAAAAATAAAACTAAGTTCATTAAAGATGCCATGTCATGAAGTCAGTAAGTCATAGTGGTCTCCATGTCTGGTCAAAGGTTAGTAATTAGATTTGGTGAGCCACTATTTTATTGTCTGTGTTTTGATCTTTTTTTTTTTTCTTTTTTTTTTGCTTTGAACACAAATGATTAAATTGTGAACTAGTGATCTAACTGAATTCTCTAGATTGACAATATTTTTGAATGTTAAAATAATGTAGCGCACATGAAAACATCACATTTGACCTTTCACCCACAAGAATAGCTTTCTTCTAAGTCCCTTCAAAGCATCGTTGCTGGCAAAAACAGCTCCTTACTCCACATTCATGGTTCCCTGGAATCTCCAACAATGTAATGAGTGAATTTAAAAATTTCATCAGTTTGTGAGGCCGGCGCAAATTAACTAGTAACAGTAAGAAACTACCAAATACATCAATACCCAAGTTTATTTTTCACTGGATATATTTGTAAAGATAACTGATAATGAAAAAGACAATCGTCATTTTTACATCAGAAACGATGAAAAGATTGATCCATCCTCCCCAATAATTTAAATCTAAATGAATTTGCGGCATTTGTTTTCTTTTACGTTTTAGGTAGTGGGAATCCTATAAGCAGAAAAAACAAGAATCAGTTTTACTGTGACGTGACGGCTGTTCTCCATGGCCTGGTGACGAATACAGTTCACACATAAAGATTGTGCTATAATCAACTTAAAGCTTAAAGTCACAGCTCTGAACAAAGTGTCTGACTTGAGGCTTCTGACTTACTTTAGTCAGTGAACGCATCAATCATCAAGCCTCCATTGAAGGTTAATACCATGCTAGATAGCTTAAACCAAAGTTGCCTTACTAACAGTATTTAGAAATATTTGGGAAAATATGAAAACAATTATTTTTTACTCTTACACTTGCACGTATATAAAGACAAAAAAACTAAACGGTAAGCATATTTCAATAGCTAGCATAGCATTGGTACACTCCACTTGAGGAGGGGTTTGAAATTCTGACAGGTTTACTGTATGTTATACTTTTTTGTAATATAATTCAAATGCATTGAGAAATGTGTGAACATTCTTGATAGAATAAAAAAATTGGACCGACCAACTAGCTAATGCGCTTGTTACAGTGCAACAGGGCAACACAGACTCTGCGTTTCCATGTCAAAGGTGAGCAAAGGTGAGGTGGGGTGGTGGCGCAGGGGCAAAGCACAACCCACGTATTGAGGCCCTAGTCCTCATGGCGGTGGTCGCAGGTTCAATTCCCAGCCTGGCGACATTTGCCGCATGTCTTCCCCTCTCTGATTGCCTCGTTTCCTGCCGAACTACTTTCAAATAAAGGCCACTAGAGTCAACAAAACCCTTTTAAATAAAAAGGTGAGCAAAGCTAATAGTGACATGTTGTAACTGCTTTGTTTAAAACTAGAAACTTGATTAATATCCCATGTGAATAAGTTTGCTCATGAGATAAGTCATTAAAAAATATCCTCCATCAGTCATCCTCCAGCTACTTCCTGTTGTCTTTTTGCTGGTTGTTGATCATGTGACTCGTGTGATGCGAAAAAAAAGTGTTTCCTTTGCACTTTTACGAAATAAACCAATTTCGATACGACTAAAATAACCCTTCTCCCAGCAGTAAAACTTTTTCTCAGAAACATTTTTTTTTTCTAAATTGCCGTATTTCCATTAAGCGAATTTAGTTTTGAAATTTCAAACTGCGCAATTATGAACTCACACATCCAGCCCTCAAAGCATATAACACGTTTTGCAACATAATCCTGTATGTTGCACTGATTGGATATACTGAACAGAAAATTCAGTATATCAAACCATGATATAATGTATGGTTTTTAAATGTCGCTGATAAAGTCTCATCCTCAAGAAAACAAACATTTAGGTTGGAGGAATTTTACCCCCCAAAATTTGCTCCTTTCTGTAACTCAGCAAAAACTTTTAAAGCCTAAAAAAAAGAGCTAAGCAAAAAAGGCAAAGACCTCAGAACATGGAGGCTCTGCTTGATTAGGAGACATATTCTTCTGCTTTCAAAAGCAAACGAAGGAATTTATCAGCAGCAAATCACAAAGTGATCTCTGCTCCCGACAGAAACTACACTGACATTCGAGCGCAGCTAACAAAGCCCGTCTTTTCACACCTCTAATTCCACCTGAAGGATTTTTGTCATTTACAGCACCCCTTGTAAATATGTGGTACAAAAGCTTTACATTCATATATAGTTGCTGCGTGTGGCATAAACTCACACCGAGTAGAAAGGTGCAGTTCTGCCACGGCGTGTTAGGGCTGCTGCAGATAGAAAAAAAAACAAAATTCTGAAATTTTCTAGAAAAAAACTGGGAATTTCTGAGTTTCAAAAAATAAAAAAAAACTTCGCTAGAAAAAACCCGGACATTTCATTTGAAAAGTCAAAAATTTGATAGAAAAAAAAAAAAAAATTTCAGATTATTCTCAGAAATTTCCTACAAAAAAACTGGGAAACTTCTGACTTTGAAACGTCCAAAAGTTGCTTGAAAAAACGTACAAATTTTGAGATTAATTGCAGAAATGTTCGAGAAAAAACATGGACATTTCTGTGTTTCAAAAGTTTTCAAATTTAGACACAAAATTTCCAGCAGTTGAATATTTTAAAATAATTATGGTGGCTCTTGAGAAGCATATGCTTGTATGGTAATGGGAAAAAAAAACGAAAAAAAAAACTCATCTCTGCTGGAAAAACTTTTAGAATGTATTAAAGAAAGAAAGAAAACGATGACATGACAACAACAAACACATTAAAAGTACAAGATGTATGCTTCAGTAATAATCAATATAAAGTTTTGTTTTAAGTCACTTTATTATTATTAAGGATGCATAGCTCTTATCTGTACTGAAAATAGTTATCCAGACATATAATCAAAAATTAATAATTTACCAAAACTTATGTGAAAATTGTGAGATACTGTATATATATTTTATATGAAGTTCTCATTAAGTAGACGTTATTTACTGAACATTCAAAGATTATTTTCACTTCTACCCACTAAATATATTTTCTATCACATCATAATGTACATTTATTGCATGGAAATGAATTTCTTTAGATTTTTTGTAACTAATAGATTACAGACACACACAAAAGCAACAACTCTTTTAATTAATACCTACAGCTTCTGAGGTATATCAATATTTTTCCAAACACTTTAGCAGATTTAATGTATGAATATTCCTTTATAGACTCCAGCTCTGATTTCCTTTAGAGCAAGAAAGCATTTGAGATTGTGGAAGAGGTATCTAATTAAAGCTTTAACCTTTTTATTCCTCCCCTGCTCTCACCGCAACCGCTTTTAAAACATGACTTGCAAAAGCTCCAGAAGTAAGACAAAGGACAAAGTTAGAAACTCTAACTAGCAACGTACTCTGGCCATAAAACTTTGCATAAAGCTCTATATTTTCATGATATAATGGTAGTGAAATAAAAGTTTACAGCAAAAATATAAGTGCAAATCGTCAGCTTCTTGTTTTTCTTTCTCTGAATCAAAACTTAACACAAGAGTCATCGTCTTCAATCAAGACGTAAGTGGATGACCCAATAAATAAATTCAAGGTTGATCAAGCGCTATTTTAGCACTTTTAATTATTTTCGATGAAAGGAGCGTTGAGTGGGCAATTAGTAGGTCTGCTTAAAATTAGAGTCAGCTAATTCCTGTCCCCATAACACCTAGTTTGAATCAGTTTTAGATAAAGAAAATATACATTTAAAGATCAAGGTTGAAATTGACTGATAAAATGCAATGACAGCAACAGCAAAGAGCCAGCAGGACATTTTAAACCATTTGTGATTAAATTGGTTGAGAAACATTAAACATATGGTTGGTGTGATAAAAAAAGTTTAGGGTGCTGCAACTAGAGAAAAAAAAAAGATTATGTATGAATGTATTTATTGGGTCGTCCATTTACGTCTTGATTGAAGACAATGACTCTATCCCAGGTGTGTCCAAAGGACATTCGTGGCCCTGGGATTTGTCGGCCCCCCAACTGCAGTTCAAGAATGATGCAAATTTGTTTACTAAACTTTCTATTTTTAATCAAGGTACAATTATTGCTGACAATTTTCTTGCAATGAAAAATGCTAAATACGACACAAAGTATTTTTTTAACCAAACCGTAGCGATTAGTGGAGCCTCGTTTATCCAGAGACTTTTACTAAAAAGCCGACTTTGCCGCACAGAAATCAACTTTTATTTCATTTATTAAAGTTGGCTAAGTATTAGCAAGAGTTTTGAAAGAAAGTGACCCTAAGTCCTGTTCTTATTACTGAGTAAATGCTTCCAACCAAGCCTAGAAGAATTTGAAAAATTGTTGCTTTACGTGTAACACAACATAAAAAAAAATCTTATTAAGTTTTGGAATAATATCCCTTTTTTGTGAAAAAAATAAATAAATCTGACTACTTTATTTACTTGATTTTTTAGACTCAACAATTTCAGTCCACATGACAAAAATGAACAAGCATTTTTCCCGAGGTAGCCGCAATATAACTTTGACTTCAGGATTATTCAAATCAGAGTTATAGCTTCAGCAAGACTAACAACATTAGCTGTAACAAATAATCTTTAGTAATCTCTTAAAATCGGTTAAAATGCGCATGTTCTTCAGTGTATATGGGCTAAAAATTGTGTTTTCTTCTTCCTTAGTTGCAGCGTTTAAAGCACAGAAGACCATTTTCTCACCTTGTTAAAACGTAGGAACCGTGGACGGTCTCCTGTGGATTTACAGCTGACGTTGCGTTTAGTGACCGGCCCGTTTTCTGCTTACAGCAGTTGGATCGCAGGGTCAAAATGTGGAGATGCTAAGAGCGTTTTGTTGGTCGTTGCATCAGTAAGATAGGCGCTTTCGGTTACTTCCCATTTGTCACCGGATGCACACTCAACAAATTAACAGAAGTCCCCTATAAAGAAGACAAAGAATAAACATTATTTGTGAGTTATCTCATAAAAGCAGAAGTTATTAACCGCTAAAAACCTAAACCTAACACAGGGAAGCTAATTGCCTCTAAACTCTCGGCTTACTGGAGGTGATAAAGCGAGATATGGAGATGCTCAGTGTTGGGCTCACGTAGATCAGTGTTACAACAAGAGTTTCGCCTTAAAGAAGGGCCATTAACCATGTTTAATGTGCTAGTGTAAATTTTGAGTTTTCACAATTTGGGCTATATCCAGGATTTATCAAGCGTAAGTTGATCCAATCATGTCAAACGATGAAGATGGGATGGCCTGTAGTTAGGTGTTTTTACTGCTCGCTCTCAGAATCAGCTCCAAAAGAGCTGCATGATAAACAGAGTTTCAGTCGTCGTAGCAGGATTAGTTTGCACCTCATTATTACAAAAAGCTCCTTAGAGGCAACATGTGGTAAGATATTATATTATAGGAAAGGAGAACAGGAGAGAAACATAGTTTGGACTGTGGTTGAGCTGCTAGAACTGACAGAAAGATGGGGATGTCTCAGTGACAGAAGAGAAACAAAGAGGTAAAGAAAATGTGAGTTACTCACAATGAATATTTTTTAATGATTATTAAGTGGTAGCAGTTAGTAACAGTAATTATAGGGGTATAGTAGTAGATCACAGTTTATCAAGTCTTCAATCACAGAAAACAAAACGTGCTCACAGTTGGTTCATGGATTATACAACAATAAAACCACTTTGGAGTAGTTTTGATAATCCAGTGTACGAGATGCACTTGAATGCACCATTAAAACTGTCATTAGCAGCAGTTCAACTCACCACAGAATTGATCTGCAGCTTGACATTTAGGAAACAAAGTTGCTTAGGAGAAACTCAGCAATTTCAGAAATTGTTGAGGTGAGTGGTTCTGTCAACTACGGAAACAGAGAGCGGACGTTTTCTGCATGTACTTTTTCCTCGATGTTTTTCTTGAGATAACGAGTTCGTTTCACAGCGGTCGTTGGTCTCTGGGTTTGTTATACCTGATTTTTTTTTCTTTCTCCGCTAAAGCTGCCTTAAAAACCTTATTGTAACAAAACAAAGAATAGCTTAGAGATAACCAGAGTTGTCTTTGTTTTGTTTCGATGTCATTTTTAAAGTCGTGCCACAGAACGTCACGTCGAGCGTTTAGTTCCACACCTTAACATTCTGCATCTGTTCAGGTATGAAACAACGCTGAATTTGTTTGCTACCAGCAGAGATGTGCTGGATGTTTTTGGTACAAATACATGTACTGTTCCACCCCTACTACTAATAAGGCATTGTTCAATTACTGCCATCAAGGTATGTCAACTTAAAAAGTAAGGTTTTGTATCTGCAAACATCTTCTGTCACACTGTTCCTTATCATGAGATGCCAGTGCACTTATCTCAATTCTTGGAGATTTCACTAAGGAATGCATAACGGAGTGCTGCCCCTCCCCAACCTGCTGCTACACACTACATCAGCTGACTGTAATAAGCACTTTGCTGAAAAACAGTTTGGGGTTGTAAAATTAACCTGTCATGCAACCATTTTTTTAGTTTAACAATCTCATTTTAAGCCGATTCTTACAAGAGTAAATTGTTTTAGCAAGTATTCTTGAAAAAGTGTGGTTACTTGCTAATCCAGCTGTTGAAATCGAAACAGTGCTGAATTCATAAACCAGAACGTCCCCCTGACCAGGTAACATCAAATATCTTTGTCACTGAACGTCAATCAGGGAACGCAATTTTACTTTCCCCACTGGGAAATTGTTTTGCAGCATTTCCATTCACTGAAAAACAAACCTAGAAACGCCCGAGCGTGATCGTTCGGCATCAACAAAGTGTAATGTACGATAACACAGACAAGAAAAAACACTCATGGCTTCATGTTATTAAGCATTACAATAGCAGCAGCTATAAAAGAGACTCCATCTCTATTGGTTTTTTCCTCGCAAATGCTTTTTTTTTTTTACCTGTGGCCTGAGGGTAGAGGCTGAAAATCTGTAAAGAGGGAACGGTCTGAACATAGCATGACACAGGCTGCCTGTCTCAGCATCTGCCTGTCATAAAAGCCCAAAGACTCGAGTCGGAGTCCTTCCTAAAAACTTTAACCAGGCTATCGGGTCTGGTTTTATTGGCCGTGGAGAGATTACCGTACCATTTCAGATGAAAACAATAAAAGCTCTCGATTTCCTTATAAAGCACAGCCGTCGTCATTCTTCTTTTGTTGCAGCGGTAAAACGTGTCTCAGAGGATTCAGGGAGGTAAAAACATAATGAACACAACAATGAAGTGAGTATTCATGAGAGCTGGATGTGCGAGCTATTTAGGTAAATCTCACCTAAAGCAAGTATGTAATACTTTTCCCTCAATTTGTTCTGAAGAAGATAATTGGCTGTAGAGCAATCGTTTATTTATTTCTCAATAAATATTTATTTATATTGAAATCATATATAATTTCTTATTTGCACCATAATAAACGAAATGCTAACCAACATTTTTGGTGTGTAATGGCGACATATGGAAAAATATAATGATTCAAATTGTTCGTTTTTTGTTTTTATGATGTGAAGCATGCGCAAGGCAAATAAAATTTGATAGTTTGATTGATAGAGTTGATGTGTTTCAAACTAAATCTGGGAAAAGCTGAAGGTATCTGCTGGTCTATCGCTTTTATTATTATTATTTTATTTCACAAACTACATGTAGCACTTGTTTTTGTTTGCAGGCTAGCTATCTGTGCATATCGACAAACAACTCAGTCAGCTAACATCTTGTCGCTGTCGGAGTCAGCGTTATTCAACAAGCTTGTGCACACAAACAGGAAGTTTGACGCATTTGCTCTCAATGAAAACATTTTAAATCAATAGGAAGGAATACACAAACTAAAGATTTTTCTGTAAATATCTAAACAGACATTATTTTGACAAAGGGGAAGACACAGATGAATTATCATAAACACACGGTACTGGTGTGAGCACTCAGTGGAGAAACATCCTGGGAAAGTCTGAACAGCTTGTGTCCAGCTTATGTGGGGTCTGCAGAGAATTTAGCTGACTTTTTCCTGAACCCAGTCCTAAACAACCTTAGAAAATCATGATTGTGAGTCTTCTCTGTAGACCTATTGTTGCTCTATAGGGAGCAAAATCTCAACGATGTGATGATCTACACAACAAGAATTTTGAAAACGACTACTAATTAAGTTGGGGTCTATATTTTTGCTTATTTTGAAATTAAATAAATCCAAAGACATTCTTCATTGCCTATAAATGGTTTAATAAATAGGTTACACTATAATAGAAGCAGTGTGAATAAGTATTATTGTTCTGCTTTGAATAATAACAATTAGCTTTAAGAAAATCTATGTATAAACTCCATTTTTTTACTCAGGAATCTCATGCCAGTCTAAGCCTACTACAACAAAAAAGTTATTTTATATTAAGTATTAAATAACCTTGTTAAACCAACAATTACAATAAAATATATTGTAATTCTATTGGAGAAGATGTGTCGCAAAATTGACGTAAAACCACAGGAAATTGGGTCAACTGGTGAAAGGGGACATGGGAGATCGGACTGGATCGTAACTCCTCATTTGGGAAAGAGAAACATAAATATCAAATGGTTTCAAGATGTTGAGACATCATTTTTATTGTAAAGTATTAGCCATTATGCATCATCTTTTTCACCTAGGCTTTTGCTCCACAACGTCAATCACTTTGCTCTTCTTCCTATTCTACATGTGTTTCTGCATCTATGCAGTGCTTTCTCTTCCTGCAGTCGCCCGCTGATCGCGGTGTCTCTCGTCCAAGGACGCTTTGAGACACGGATGGCGGTGAGGAGCGGAGCTTTCAATGGCAGCAGAAGCACTCCATCACCCTGGAGCCACACCGGTACCGGAACGAGGAAAGCGCAACGTTAAATCTTTATCTGTTGACACGGTTGTAAGGAAGATGAAGAGGATTTGTTAATTTGTCTCATTTTCTATTGGGCATGCTCGTCTCTGTTCTGTTTTGTTGTGTTACCAATTTGGTTACTTCAAATGAATGTGATCCAATTTGCTAAGCGAGGTAGAAGCCGTGAGATAAAAGCGCGCATTAGGATTTTCATTACTGTAAAAGCAACTGGTCAGTCTGCGGCGATGAAAGTCACTCAAAGCTTAAGGCTTTGTTTGCGCTAACAATGTTGTAAAACAGAGACTTTCTTCTCTACTACACATACAAACTTTAAAGTGTTAAGTAAAAAAAAAAATCTAAAGTGGAGACTTGTCATTAGTTATTCTTCTCAGTGAAACGCTGGTAAAAACTTTAAAGGGTTAACAGAGGAGCCGTGTTGTGATGACTTCCTGAAGGCGGAGTTTCAGAAAGAATAGGAGTTTCTTAAAGAGACAGAGGCCCAATTTCATATTTGATGTATACAGCATGTATAGTATCTGAATGTAACATAGTTATTTGATTGTGCTATAAAATGACACTATGTTGCTAGAAAACATACTCATGTCCCTTTAAACCAAATGGTTTTGCAACAGGATGCTATTCACCTTCTGATAATAATACTATTTCAATATATTGTGTCTTTCTATTTTCCTGATTGCAGGTTTGCTATTTTTCCACCACTGTCTCGCCTCAGCAGTTGTGGTCAGCTTCATCTCATAAAAACGTCAGTCGTGTAATCCCTCCTGCAGCTCTTCAGAGCAACTGTGCAAAGTCCTGCATTGAAAGACAAAACAATTAGCTTCTCGGCGCTAAGACAAACAAATCTCCACATGAAAAAGGTAAGTCGAACCATCCAGTTAGAGGTGTAGAAAATTTTTTGGTGGGGGGGCGAGAGGGAAGGGGGTTTTTGCACGGCACGATGAGTAATTACACACCACACACCTGGTTCTAGATTGTGGATAATGCGCTAGCGCCGCGTTGTTTGTTTCAAACAATTAATCTATCCGCAGGGTAGCAAAACAAAAAAAAGATTGAAATAAACCTGTAATGGAGCAGTCGGGGAGTGGAGTTACAAGTTGAGATAGTTTCCTGCGGTGAGGATGTGCGCCTCAGTGGCAGTGACGGAGCACACTTCTTCACAGGCCTTCACGGGAGCGCTCACTCAACGCTGTTAGATCCCCTGACCTCTCATGGCTACATTAAACCCTTTAGAATAACAAAGCGCAGTTTGAGAGACCCGCAGTCACTTCAATTCGAATGTGCAAATACACTTCCAAGGAAATAAATCCATAGCAAACTTGAGAAATGCCAAGAGTCAGATTTAATATTTTCCTAAAGTATGAATGTCTGGGTTTTTTTTTTCTTTTTCCTCTTTATGCATAAATCTGAAACCAAATATTATCTTAATTATGTATACAAAGTTTAAAATGCATTGTCTGTTGCCTGCAGATGCAAACACACACGCGCGTGCACGCACAAGCGTGCCGCGTTCCGCGCAGCGGCACGTATGTACACACACGCACGCAGGGCGGCTGCAGAATTGAATGCGATAGGGAAGTGAAAAATGATTAACCCAGGGTCAGCTCTCAGCCTCAATCTCGGCAGCGCTCAAAGAACATCCTCGCCTGATTTACACTCGTCATGTTCCACAGCACACATTTGCATATATTTATTAAATTCACCACGCGTTGGAGAATAAAATATAACAGCGCGGAGGGGGGGGGGGGGGAGCACGAGGAAAGGCAGCGGAGGAAGGGAGCGAGGGGAGGGGGGTTATTTAAAGGAGGTGTGTGTTTCTCATAGATTTGCTTTCCATTCATATTCATTCGCTCCTTTCTCCTTCTCTCTCTCTCCCGCTCTCTGTTTTTGTTCATTAGCATGGAGGTCAGCGCAGGCATCAGATGTGACCGCGTGCCGCTTTGGGCGACACGTTGCTGTTGGTCAGCCTATTGAGTTGACCTTGTTATCGTTGTGACAGACTGTGTTATTTATCAGTTAGTTAGATAAGAGCAGCGTGGAGCGCGGTGATAGTCCGCCGCACGGAACGAGCCCCGCCGCTGAATCCCAAACACCGGCTGACGGAAACACGGCCCGCCCTCGGCTTTGTTTTTCACTTGTGCAAACGAAACTCGGTCGTCTTCGTGAAGCGCAGAGGAAATGGCTCTATCTAAAGGAGAGCAACTTCGAAACGGTTTCCCAAAAATATCCAATAGCTGCTCGGCGCTTCCTACGCCTGTGGTGTTGGCTGGAGTGAGATTTCTGATCAGTTCTAGCTTGACAGAAGCTAAATTTAAGCAGCCATTAGCTCACTTTTCCATTACAGATGTGCGCAAACGATATTTCGGTAATGTGACAACCCCCCTTCGCCCCAACTTCGCAATTGTGGTGTTTCCATTTAATAAAACGTAATGAAAATCACAAGTTTGTTCACTAATAAGCCATTAGAAAACATGCTCACCACTTCATGTCGTTTTCTTCTTCCGTCAGTGGTAATGTCCGGTTGTTGATCACGTGACGCATGACGTGAAAAAGTATTTCGTTTCAGTTTTACGGAATACATTAATTTTGATAAGAGTCTAAAAAGCACCTCTCAGAATATAAGTATGATCTACTTATATTTTTTGATGGTCTTGTGGAACAAACAGTGGAGAAAATAGTAAAAATAATGTTTGCGTTAATGTCAGTTTTGTTTTTTAGCTAACATTAACTAAAACGTAACTAGTGAATTTTTTTTTATTTAAAATTATAAACAATACGATCAATTCTCACCATCTATTCCAGCTCTTGTGAGTCTTGTGTATGTCCTGATCAATGAGAAGACACAACTTACCGCTTCAGGAAAAAAAAAAAAAATGTTTATCTGCCATCATCGGTGGCCATGCTAACTCGCCTTAGCATTCAGTGACAGCTTCATAGTGGTAAACCAGTGCAGCAGTGAGAAAGTTGGCAGTTATTAGCCCAGTACACATGAATGATTGACAGCGTTAAGACCCTCCTCCTGCCTCTGATTGGTTGTTTCTGACGGAGTGGTGTATTTGTTCTGATGACAGCAGACTCATATGGAGATTCACAGATTCTCTCACATTATACTGCCACAATATAGTTATCTTTGCAACTCACCGTTGCACCTCTAACGCTAACGGCGAAATGCTAATTATTCACCTGCGGCTTCGCTCAAGATAACCTCTACCAGGCCTCCCATTGTCCCCCCGCTTTCTGTCCCGTCTGCACACAAACAAACACATACCGCAGCCTGATGGGAGCAGCGTGGCAGGTGGGATCAATAGGCCTGAAACCTGTCCAGAGCGTTAATCCATCAGCGGCGAGTGGAGAGAAGAGGCAGGCCAGGAGAGCCATTTGCTCACACACAGGCCTCAGCTCTTTCTTTTTTCTTTTTCTTTACCACGCTGTGTTAAATGGTTGTCTGAGAAATATTTTTTAACCAAGAAACCGCCTCCGTCCATGCTCGCTCTCTGGAATCTCAAAAATGCTGTTGTAGCAGAGAAGTGTTACACTTCATTCAGCATACTGAATGAGCGCTTTTGAAAAATCAAAGTCAAGAGTTTCTCAGTTGTTTCAGATGTTTGAAGGTTTTGGGTGTAAAAAGCTACTTTTCTTAAATGGGAAACAAGCATCTATTTGTTAGCTGTGTCTCATGTTTGGCAGCTAAACGTGAGACTACTTTAGGTTTTTACTTGAGTTCCCAGAAAAGTATGAAAGCAGAATCTCTCCTACTCTCCGTCAAGCATGTTGTCTAATCTTAGCTGTTTACAAAACGCTACATGCCGTCCAGTTTATATGGTAAGCTCAGGAATCAAGCTAAGGTTCAGGAATGATTGTGCGTGTCCACAGCGACCTCTCTTGTTTCACAAAATGAATCAATTCTCTTCTCCTTTTGTTGCAGTGGAAGGATTTTTATTGTTTTATAGAGAATATCTTTTTTTTTAATGATCTATGGATGATAATGCACAACTTTGGTGTGGAGGTGAATTGGCATGACTGACTGCTGAGGGCAAATTCAATTAATGTTCCTTCTCTGGACAACAGGATGAATTATTTACAGCTCCCAGTGCACATGTGTTACTCCTCAGCTTCGACCAAAGAGCTGCTGTTTTTGGTTTGTTTTGTTTTTCGTACAGCATTGATGTCCAGTTGGTGTATTAGCGGGCTACCACCTAAAGTATTCTCATCCAGAGGGCAACATAACAGGTTTTTTGAGACTTAAATCCTTATGTTGTGGTGAATATCTGTCAAAATTTAAGGATGAAATTTAAAGTTAATTTAAAGATGGGGTGCAGACATCGCTAGCTGAGTAATTACACAGTACTTTCTTAGACAAGAACTTTCGATAAAGCCAATATTATCAATGCTATTATCCAATAGTGATACAAGTCGGTATCAGTATCGGATTGATGCTCGTATGATAAAATCGATACTTTAGTTTCACATTCCCTCTTGAAAATGTATTCTAGCTTTGGTTTTGTAGTTTCTCAATTCTGCCTCAAAAGAGATTTTGTTTTGATTTGTTGTCAAAAGATAATTTTTTGCACTTTTGTTTATTCAGAAAAAGATGCACACAAATATGTTTTGTTTAGCTATTGTTTTATTCGTATCATGTTTATACGTTTTCAAAATATGTTGAAGGCACTCATAACTTTGTCCAAATTCTGTCCTATGTTTTAGCAAAACATTTTAAAAGAAAAAACAACAACATAAAAGCCAGAAGTCTGACGATACATCAAACTTGAATAAAAAATATCGGTATCGGTTTGCTGTATTTACTCTGTGTCAGATCAATACCAAAATATTGCACACCTCTGCTACTCAGGTGTTAGTAAACTACTTCTCAGGATTGTTTTGTGACAGTAAAACAACAAAAATTGTTGAAACTGCTTACACGTTATTTTGAAAATGGCTGCAGACTTACCAAGTTGTTCACTATGAACGTTCACTGTAAATAAACAAATTGATTCCAGTAACGTTAAGATGCTGTACTTCTTTACAGCGAGATTAAACCAATCAAAATCAGCACCAGAAGCAAAAATTTGCATAGAGATGTATTACTTATTACATGAGTGTTTTGCTAAAATTTAATTTATGCTGCATTTGAGCTGATACGGAGAGTTGCTATTTGCTTGGCAGGTTGAGCTGTCAAAAGCTTTGTAAAAAGACAAATCTTTTCATGTCATGGAGGTAAAATACATAAAATCTGTAGTAAATCAGTAGATTCATTTCCTTTGATGTCATCTGCTGGGCTTTTTCCACTGATTTAGTTTCATGATTCGACTGTCTGGTGTCCACATCTGAACTAATAGGCGGGGAAAGAAAGGAAGACTGGAAATTAATTTTATGGAAATTAAAAAAAAAAAAAAAAAGTAAAACCAACACTATAAAAAGTTTAGGTTTGGCTTTTAA